GTGAAAGCTCTGATGAAGATAAAGACTCGGTCATGTCTGATGCTCTATCTGTTGATCATGAACCCGATGAAGAGGTAATACCATTGACTAAATCTGATGATCCCTTTCTTAACTATATTAGTGTTGTCCCTAGAGATGAGTTTGTTGATGAGGATGATGATTCAGATAATGGAACCAAAGAAGCCCCAATTTACCCTTATCATGACTCAACTCAGAAATGGGATACAATGCAACCCATCCTTGGTATGAGGTTTTGTAACCCTCAAGAACTTAAACAGCTTGTCTCAAACTATGCAGTAGCAAACGGTTTTAACCTTTGGTATGAAAAAAATGATAAAACTAGGTTGTTAGTCAGGTGTTGTAAAACTAGTGAAGGAAAGGCAGCATGTCCTTTTAGACTATGGGCTACTTGGATGAGCAGTGAAAAGTCATTCCAAATTAAGTCCTTACGTAATGAGCATAACTGTGCTAGAACCTTCAAGTTTGGGTCAGTTGTTACTTACTCATGGATAGGGAAACATTTTGTTAATGATATTTTAGAAAATCCCAAATTGAGTTGCAGGGAAATGAGGGATAAAGTTGGGGAAATTTTCAATGTGAAGGTTAGTGTTGGACAATGCAGGAATGCAAAGAAGTTTGCACTTAATGAGATCGAAGGCAGTTTGAACACACATTATGAAAAATTATGGAGTTATGGAGCTGAGATATTAAGAGCTAATCCAGGGTCAACAGTGAAAATTGGGACGGATACAATGCCTGATTCCACAATTTATTTTTCTAGGATGTATGTTTGTATCAAAGGTGTAAAGGATGGTTGGATTGAAGGATGCAGGAGGGTTATAGGTGTAGATGGTTGCTTTTTAAAAGGTATTTGCAGAGGTGAGCTTCTTTCAGCTGTAGGTAGAGACGCTAACAACCATATTTACCCCATTGCTTGGGCAGTAGTTGCAGTTGAGAACAAAGAAACTTGGAAGTGGTTTCTAAACTTACTACTTAAGGACATTAACATGGGAAATGGGGCAGGATTAACCTTACTTTCTGACCAACACAAGGTATTTATCCTAACTGTTTTTTAATTGGTTACCGTTTTATTTATCTTAATGTTATGTTTATCTTAATGTTATGTTTATGTTGCATGTTTAGGGTCTTATTGAGGCTGTTAAAGAAAGAGTACCAGATGCTGAGCATAGGCAATGTGCTAGGCACGTCTATGCTAATTTCAAGAAAAAATTTAAGGGTGCTGCATATAGGAAGCTGTTTTGGAGGGCTGCAAAGGCCACAACTGTGCAGAGGTTTGAAGGTTTAATGAAAGAGATTAGGGCGATTGATGTACAAGCATATGATCACTTGATGGAAAGAGATCCAAAATCCTGGTCTAGGGCTTTTTTTGTATTGGACAGGTCTTGTGATGCCATTGAGAATGGTATTTGTGAATCTTTTAATGCTGCAATTGTGCATGCTAGGAAAAAGCCGATTATAACAATGTTAGAGGAAATTAGGAGGTTTGTGATGGATAGGATGTATTGTAAAAGATTGAAGGGGCAGAAATGGAATCTAGCCATATGTCCATCTATTAGAAAGAAAATAGTGGACAAGAGGAAACATCTAAGGTATATATACTTTATTTTATAGGTATTGGCATGTAATTCCCAAGTACTAATTTTATACTATATTCCTTTATTTTATAGGTATTGGTATGTAATTCCCAGTGGAGTGCAACAATTTGAGGTGAGGTCAGTACATGAGGTTTATGCTGTGTACTTGAACCAAAGAACATGTGCATGTAGAGGATGGCAACTAAGCGGTATACCATGTATACATGCCATGGCTGCTATTAGTTATCTAAATGAGAATGTGGAAGACTATGTGGCAACTTGGTTCACAACAGAAATGTTTGGAAATTGCTATAAGTATACAATTAATCCTTTAAATGGAAGTGAAATGTGGCCATCTTGGGAAGGTCAACCTATGTTGCCCCCGAAACGTAAAAGATTACCTGGCAGACCTAAAGTCAACAGGAAGAAGGCTGCTTCAGAAAAAGAAGGTCGTCATACTATTAGCAAGAAAGGGGCTATTACAAAATGCAGCATCTGTAGAGAACCAGGACACAACAAAATAACATGTCCATTGTCCAAAGAAGGTTTTTTTCATATCAAGTATCATTCATTTACCAAAAAAAATATAAGTATTATCTATTAATGCATTATAAATTTTAATGTAGGACCAAGTACTAAAGCCAAAAAGAAGAAGGGTAAACATGTTCCTGATGTTGAGGATGAGTCTGAATTTGAGATTGAAGAGATGGATGAAGTTGAAAATGAGTATGAATCTGAGATTGAAGAGCTGGCTGAAGATGGTGATGAACCTGATCAGGGACAAGTTGATGAACAAGTTGAACCTGCTGTTGAACCTGCTGTTGAAGCTGTTGTTGAACCTGATGAACAAGTTGAAGCTGTTGTTGAACCTGATCAGGAACAAGTTCATGAACCTGATCAGGACCAAGTTCATGGACCTGTTGTTGAGGAACCTGCTGCACAACCTGTTGTTGAAGTTGAACAAAGAGCACAACCATTGAAGAGGAAAAGGAAATACTCAGAGAGGATCACTAAAGTGACATTAAGTAGGGTGGTCAACACCAAGGATGGATGTGGTTTAAGTGTGAATAAACCTGTTACACTGGAATGATTCCCTTTGATGTAAATCTGCACATTAAAAACAGTGCTTTTGTTTGTTATTACCCTTTAAATATAATCTACATCGTTCAATGTTGCTTTTACATATGATTCCTTGTTTTTGACCATTATGCCCTTCATATTATTTTTTACCATTATTCACATTAGATCATATTCAAACACAAGATTCTGCACATTATGCCCTTCATTTTGACCATTATGCCCTTCATTTTGACCATTATGCCCTTCATTTTGACCATTATGCCCTTCTGCACATTAAGAGGTAAAATTCTGCAAGATTCTGCATTTTGACCATTATTCAAACACAAGATTCTGCATAGTTGTTTGTACAAGAGTTGTTTGTACAAGGGTAACATTCTGCACATTATTTTTACCATTACTCACATTAAATCGTATTCAAACAAAAGATTCTGCAAAGTTGTTTGCAAAGTTATTTTTACCATTACTCACATTAAATCATATTTTTACCATTATGCCCTTCATTTTGACCATTATGCCCTTCTGCACATTAAGAGGTAAAATTCTGCAAAGTTGTTTGTACAGGGGTAACATTTTGCACATTATTACCCTAATAAGACAATGCATGAATGCTCATTCAATGTTGTTTGTACTTAAGATTAAATCATATTCAAACTTAAGCTAAACATGTCCATTCAATCGTATTCAGCAAAACATGTTCATTCAATCATATTCAGCAAAACAACCATAATATCCGATTACAATTTGACATTTATGCCCTTAAAAGTGATACTACAAACAACATAAACAACACAATTACATATGTTTTGAGACTGCTAATTTTTCTAATTATCTTATCAAATTCTTCATCTGTCTTCTTTTTGTAAATATTGAAATCATGGTCCATAATTGCAATCCTCACTTCACAAGATTGTGCCCTTACTTCACAGGATTGTGCTCTCACTTCATCTCTTTTCTTCTTGTTGACTGTATCTTCTTCATTAACCCATTCCCAGAATTTGCATTTAATTTCTGGGTTATCCTAAAACAAATATACGAAAATTATTGAAAGACCTTACTACATATAGAATAAACCCGACATACCGTTGAATTAGGGCAAACCCTAAACTCTTTTCCAGGATTATCTTTGGTCGTTGAAGTCCAGATACGAGAAGGGTAGCCACAATCACAGGGATTTGCAAAATCAAGTTTCGATTTTGACTTGATTTTCTTCGATCTGGTGTTGGAGGTGTACGTAGAGGAGGAGGAAGCATTAGATGGACCAGCCATGATCGATCTCAACTTCGACTGAGAAAATTACACAACGGGGTGTTGAGGGTGAGGGTGAGGGTGTTTAATGGAGAGGGGTGAGCCACGTATTTTCCACATAATTTGTTTTTTTTTTTAATAAATAAATTACCGGGATACCTATTGTATCCGGTTAACAATGGTAAAGTATGTACAGAAAAAACATTTTAATGGTATTTTGTGTTAAAAAAAAACGTTAATGGTATAATGTGAACACGGGTAAAACATCATTACCCTTACAAGTCATTTTCCCTTCAAAGAAAAGGTTAGTTAATAATGTGAAATTTTATAAAAAATCCTAGAGCTTCATGAAAAATTCTTAAGCTTACTTTTTTAAAAACATAAAGACATAAGTTGTTAGAAAAATCAAAAAAATTAGATTTTGACATGAAGTAGCAAATCAAAATGTTTCAAGATCAACAAGTTTAAATGGGTTTTTTTTGTAAACAAAAGACAAATATTTGATAAAATAAAGATAAAAATTAAAAGGTTTTTTATTTAATTAATTATTTTTATAATTTTATTTTTATTTTTGTTTCATTATTTTCATGTAATCTTATTGTAAATTATTTCTTTTTGTTTAATTTTATTTTATTATTATATTGTAATCTTGTTTTATTTTCACTACCTAAAAAATAATATTATTGTATTTTCTATCTTTTATATATATTTTAGACAAAATTACAAAAATAGTCCATGTGGTTTGCCAAAAATAACAAACTTTGTCCCTATCTATCTTTTTTGATGCATTTTCCCCTTGTAGTTTGTAAAAGTTGCATTATAGGTCTTTTTTCATAACTCCGTCTGTTTATAACCGTTTGGGGTCATTAATGTGGGAGTATATTCGTCTTTTTATGTTTGGCGCTCATTTAAGATGGGATTAGACAATGATACGTCATTAAGTTATCCTCTGATTAACTAGAGTCCAAGAAACCCCCCTTCATCTCAACTTCACTTTAGCTTACTGATCATCTTGAAGATCTTCATCCTTCATCCCTCACATCCGATTTTAGGGTTTATCAACTAAAAATGGTATTGTGTATGTGGAATTTACGTGGTCCTCATACGATTGCACCCGACCTTGATAAAGATTACAGTGAGTTGTTTAATCTTTTGTTTGGTGTTTCTTGGTTTGTATATTCAAAGCTCACCGATTTTTCTTTTTCAGATGGTCACGACAATTTCTTCACTTTAAAGATACATCATGGTGGATTTTTTACAAAGTTCCCTGGAAGAAAGTACATCGAGGGAAGGTTGTCATTCTTTGACTTTGTTGACACTGATCTTTTTTCAGTTCATGATCTAAATGACATGATTCGTGAAATAGGGTATTCTAAGGATGACACAATGTACTATCATTATAGAATTCCTAATTTAGACTTAGATTTTAGATTGAAGGCTCTAGGAAATGATCAAGACGTTATATCTATGGCTCAATATGTCCCTCAAAATGGAGTGATTAATGTGTATGTTGAACATGGTTCTACAAGACTTCACACTTACTTCATGTCCCCAAGTAAAGCTGTTATTGAGCAACTGGATGGTGATCCTTCTCCTGAACTTAATAGGATTAGGCCCAATAAGAAAGAAATTGGTTCTTGTAGCAAGAAATTAGACATGAATGTCTCACTTAAAGAATCACCTAATCAAGAACAGAAAGAAGATGGTGTGTATGATTTTTCCATGTCCCTTGTTCCTTTTGAGCCAACCAAACAAGATGTGGTTAATGAGTCTAAGGATGATTCGTATTTCCCTATACCAAAAGAAACTGATATAATGCAAGAAATTACAGTTGATATTAATTGCCAAAATCATGGGGAAATACTCGATGATTTTGAGCCTTTTAGTAGTGATGGATATCAGAATATGGGTAAGTTTAAAAGAGAGGTTGAAGTTGAAGAAGAATAGGATGAAGAAGATGATTCAAAAGAGCATACAAAAAAAGATGATGATTCTGACTACATTATTGACCCATAAGCTATTTTAGACGATTGGGAGGTTGATATGAGAGAGTTTAACAGTTGTGTGGACGATGTTGAATGGTTTGGACAAGGACCAAACATAGAATTAGATTTAAACCAAGATGATGATTTAGGTGTGATCAACAATGATGAGTTTGAAAGTGCAGGATATGAGGAAGAACTAAGGAAGAGAATGTTAAAAAAAAAAAAAAAAAAAAAAAAAAAAAAACTAGACAAGAAGGTACCTTCTTCTTCTGGGGTAGTACATGTTACACCATTTTTTGTGGGTCAAGGTTTTAAAACAAAAAAGGATATACAGGGTCACATAAAGATGCTTTCAATAAAAACAAGGAGGGCCCTACACATGGCCAAAAATGAAAAATTGAGAGTAAGAGTAATATGTAAAGGGGTGGTTCCAGATTCCACTGGTGATGGGCCCTCCATTGTAAGTAAAGTAACATCGAAGGGCAAAACTGTAATTTCAAAAAAAGATTCTTATCCTTTTGCTATTCAAATATCTAGATATAAGGAAGAAGAACAATGGTTGGTGAAGACAGTTATTGATGAGCATTTATGCTTACAAAGTAGAAATGTGAAGACACGTACATCTAGACACCTAGCAAACACTAATCTCCAAAAAGTGGATTCCGACCCTCGCATCCCAGTAACAACCTTACAGTAGGAGCTTAAAATGGATTTGGAATTAAGCATATGAAGAATGAAGGTGTTCAGAGCTAAATTAATTGCAAAGGAACAACTGTATGGTGACTACGAAAGGCAATATAACTTGCTGAGAGATTACTGTTTGGAGTTACAAACCAATAACCCAGGTACAACAGTGAAGCTAGAAGTGTGTAATGAACCAAATCCTAATGTTGAAACTCGTATTTTCAAAAGGATATACATTTGTCTTGGAGCACTTAAGTTGGGGTTCAAATCTGGAAAAAGGGAATTAATGGGATTGGATGGATGTTTCTTGAAAGGACCACACCCTGGACAAATTCTAACAATTGTGGGTCTTGATTCCAACAATGGAATATATCCACTAGCTTATGCAGTTGTGGAATCTGAGACAACAAGCTCATGGACATGGTTCTTCGAATGCCTTGGTGGTGATTTGGATTTGGATGCATCATGCAACTTTACTTTTGTATCTGACAGACAAAAGGTTTGAATACATATAACACAAGTCTCTTTTAAAGCTTGTAACAATACTAACTATAAATTACATTATTGTTGGATTAGTGTCTAACTCCATAACTATTTTGGTATGTACTTGACCCGATGGTGCGTGGTCCTTTTGGGTTGCCTTCACCAAAGCAACTTGATAGGATGAATTATGGAGATAAAGGATTAAATATGATTTATTAATATATATTATGAGAATAATATATTAGTCAAGAATTAATAAGAATTAAGTTTGTGGCTAAAAGAGATTAATTAAACTTAAGGGACTAGAATTGTAATTATAAGATAATTGCAATTAGGCTATGGATTACCTTATATTATAAGGTTGGACGAATTCTATGGGGAAACCCATTAGAAATCGTCATAGGGCCTTTAAGGAAGGAATCCATGGGTTGCTTAGGGCTTAAGCATCCAAATTAGGGTTTCCTTATTAAATAACCCTAATAGCCTCACTATTTAAATGACCCTTAAACCCCAAAAACGTGGTGAACTAATTGGTTAGGGTTTCCACATGTTTTGGGCAGCCTCCTTCTCTTCTCCTCTTCATCCTCTTGCTCTTGGTGTTTGTGAACCATTAGAGGAGTGACATTTGTGACTCTAAGCTTTCTAAAGTCAATACAAGAAGGATTTGATATTGTTATTACTACATAACAATCAAGGTAATATCTTAAACCCTAATTCATATGTTATATTGATTATCATATACTAGACCTAGGGGTTATAGTCTTAGATGAATTGCATGTACAATAGAGAAACATAGATCCAAGCATTAGGGTTTGTATGAGCACATAGGATGTTCTTATGGCTAAAACCCATCAGCGGTAGCATAGCCTTGATTGGTTTCTATTATATTGATGCATATTTGATCGAAATCAAAATCGAATTTTTTTGCTTCTGAGTGTTTGATTCGCAGAGTCCAGGTCCAGACTCGACGAGTCAAAGCGTATGACAGCTCATATTCGCGATTTTCTTCCTGTTTTGGCTTTAGATAATTACCATAAACATGTTTTTGTTATAAAATCTGATTTTATACATATTTATGAGTATATCCTTGATTAAACAAAAGATAATTACCAATTGATTAGATAATAACTTCCTTATATGATAAAGTTTGATTATTTGTATTAATTGGGTAACTTATTTTGCAAGAAATTGAAATTAGGTCACATATAGATAATGATGAAATTAATTGTTTAATTTATATTATTTGTTATTTGATCCTTGTGTTATAAAAAATTTCAATTTTTCCCCTTTAGGTTTTATAGTTTAGATTTGAACTTAATAGTTTTGTTTTTGAAATTTAAATAGTTAAAACCCTAATGTTTTGAAATGTTTCAAAACCTATCCTCAAGTTTTGGAATTTAAAAGTTGATTAAAAGGTTTAATTTAGAAATGTTAAATTCTAAAACGCTAGTATTGTTTTGAAAAAGTTCAAATCACACCCTTATGGTTTTATTAATTAATTGAGGTGTATAATTAAAAGAGGTTTAATAAATCCATAAAGTTTTGGTTTACAATTTAATTGAATTAAAAGTATAGTTGTTAAATTTGACCACCTAGTATTTTAAAAGTGTAAAATACACCCTATACTATATATAACATTAAAAGTCTAACATTATATATATGTATGAGTAAAAGTCAGTCTTACCGTTAGTAGGCCTCATTCACCAAGTTGGTCTATAAGGGGTGTTTAAGGAAATTGCCTATAAAATGATGATTGAATGGGTATCCCCTCTTACTCACCGCACTCTTGACTAGTAGAGGATCGTTAGTCGAACGGGTAGGATAGGACAGAAACCTTCCATTATAAGTATAATGAAGTATAAAAGTAAGTAAACGCTTTCATAAAATTCCCAATCTTAGTTACTTTAGGCAAAAGTGAATTGATGCAATTCCATGAAATTACACTTTGCGCCCTTGCGAAGACGTTAGTGGAGCGTGTGTGGTTTACCGGCACACTAATTGGTTCTAAGCAAAGGTAGCAAAGGGTGACTCGATGTTTGTCATAGTTCGGTGGAGCGTGTGTGGTTAACCGGCACATCAAATAAGTGACTGTAACATGTGGGGGAACCATGTAAGTTTGCATGGTTATTCACACCCGATTTGTGATCCTCGGTATCCCAGTCACAAGGGCATATCGAGATTTAAACATGTCATTGAAAAGTTCAATGAATCTCAAAGGATCTAGGAGTTTTCATAGATTTAAAACTTAAATTTCTTTTTCGTTTTTCATGGTGGAAATTGGTAAATCGTCGTTTACCTACCTTCAAATATTCTGCAACTAGATTACGGCATCCCTTTTTTAGGTTGTAGCATATTGTGTTGGGTCCTAGCCTTAATATCTCACTTGGGTGTTTTATTAAGGACTCAATCAATCAACTAACTTGAATTTAGTTTCTCCCGTTTTGTAGATGTCAAAGTACGACAACTATGGTATTCCCAAATCCCGTGGAACAAGCTTTCCACATGAAGATGATATTCCATGATTCGATCGAGGAACAAGAAATCATGTTTCACTTCCTCCACCTCCTCCAATTATTCTCCCTAACCAACAAGTTCGAAGAATTGAAAGGTTCAATGTCACTAAAGCCCTATTGGAAATGAAACATGAAGATGGTAAACCCGTGTGTGCCCACATACTAGGAATGAAATCACACATCGATAGGTTGATAATGTTGGGTGCATCATTCCCTGATGAGTTGGCTATAGGCTGGGTCCTACAGTCACTCCCTGAATCATATAATGAGTTCAAAAGAAAGTATTATATGATGGATCATGATGAAAACCTCATTGACCTAACTTACATGCTCATTGCCGCTGAATCATAAATGGTTTGGCAAAGCAATGGAGCATATTTGTTGGGAAAGTCAACCAACCATGCTTTCGAGGACATTCTAGGAGAACCAACCTGCGTTTGCTGCCAAGAGAAAGGGCGTTGGATACAAGTCTGTCCTAAGAGCCTGAAGAGTCTAGAAGATGGGAGAGTCAAAGAGTATGGATGTGCTTCAGGTAAAATCCACTACCTAACTCAATTAAGTTCCTATTCGTTGATTCTTAATGTGATAAGATTGCATTTGAATGTTTTGCAGGATCAATGAAAAGAGAGGAAGCTTGATGAAAGAGCAAGATAAGTCTAATCACGAAGAAATGGATCTCGATCGCATGGATTCGAAGATTAGATTTGAGCTTAGAAAGTTATGATAGAGTAGTTAGGAATATTTGATTACATAGTTTTTCAGTTGATTTTGCATTGTAAGGACAAATGTTTTCCGCTGCTTTTATGAATAAAATAAATTTTGGTTTGACTCATTTAATTATTTATTTATTTCCTTGCAATGAAATCGTTATGAAAAATTGGTGTTTGCATATTTCTACAACGAGTGGATGTGATTCTTAATTATGTTATTTGTGCTTATTTGAGGATAATCATCATGAAATGTCGAGAATTTACCAAATAGGGAGAGTTTCTCATCACCCAAGTTTCAATTGGACGGAAACTTGGAATCATGCAACTTGGTTGCATGATGAATGAGAAATTTCATATTTGGAAATTAGACTAATTCGTTGACAAAGTGTCAAGTGAAGGACTAGGAGATCAAGTACACAAGGTTGTGTGTTGATCAAGTCCACCACAAAAGTGATAAAGATATTCGTCATGATTTACTAAAGGTTTAGTGGATATGATTATACTTATAAGATTAAGTGTAATTCTGAGTTGATTTGAAAGAGTTTAAATCAATAGCAGAACAAATAAGAAGA